CTTTTGAATAAAACAGAAGCATTAAATATATAATTAACGCAGATCGGAGATTGATCCCGGTTGATTCTGGATTTGAAACCGAAACCCTCGGGAGTGCAATTTTAATGGAGTTGGCGTATGATAATGTGAAGTGAAGAAAGAGAAAGAGACAGAGAAAGAGCAAAGGATGCGAGATCGAAACCCTAAAAGGTGACATGCGAGAAGACTTACACGACGGTCAACCTTGGCGAGGATCAGATCCGAAGCAGAGAGCACGGGCGAGGACAGAAAGGGAAATGCAAAAAGAATCGGAAACAGAAACAGAAACAGAAACGGAATGGACCTCATGATGCCTCTTTTGATTGTTTTCTTTCTCTTCTTCTTTTTCTTCTTCGCCTCAACTCATTCACTGCACTCAAGACCCAAGCCCCAGCAGGCACCGCTGTTTCTTGTTCCACTCTTAACCGACCAATTTACCACTTCGAGTGTCTCATCTTTTAACAAAAATAAAATAATACTAATAATAATAAAAGTGGAAGTGAAAAAATAAATTAAAAATAAATCATTTTAATATATAAATTAAATTTTTAATTAATAATAAATAGTTTATATTGTCATACATGCATTTTTGTGATTTTTGTATTTTATAATGTTATTGATCTTAATTTGTGGAAAAAAAAATTACACTGTATTATTTTTAAAAACCAAAACACTAGATTTAAACTTTTAATAATATAGAACAAATTGAAACGATTAAATGTAATGAGAGATTAAATTTAGCATAAAAAAATACATACCTTGTTCCACAATATTGTATTTAACAGTTTTTTTTTATATGAGTTTTCTTTTTAATATTTAAACATGAGTATTTTTAAGAGTTTTCATATAGAGTATTATAATTTCATATATAAGGCATTTAATTTGTTTTCTTTATGTCTTTTTAATATAGTTTATAATTTTAATTTCAAAATTAATTTGATTTAATTAAAAATTAATATAAAAATTAATATAAAAATTAAATTGCCATTGTCGACAACAAATTAAATATGGACACACAACAAATCTCTCAGCCATATTTATATATTATTTTCAATTAAAACTAAAATTCATTTCTATAACAATATAAGTTAATTTTAATCGACATCAGCATATTAAAAATAAATAAATATATTATTTTTATGAATTAAATATTAATGTTTAAAATAAATAATTAGTAAATAAAAATTATATTATAATATAAATTATTTATTATAAATCTAAAAATATAATTTACATTTAAAAAATAT